TGTGATTCTTCTAAAGATGAAGCAACTGGTTCAGCATCCTCCATTACATCTCCGTTGTGTGATCACACATTGACTGGGGCCTTGGACTTGAGGTCTGTATCCACAGAAAGTGCTTTTCAGACTTTTTCTGCACGATCCTTGATAAGAAGACCTTGTCACACATTTTTTGTCTCTGGACCAGATGAAGATAATGATTTTCGATCTATGACGTTTCCCAGAAAACTCTGGAAAATAGTTGAAAGCGATCAATTTCAGTCTATTTGCTGGGATGGGAATGGAACTTGTATAGTGATTAATGAAGAACTCTTTAAGAAAGAAGTTCTAGAAAGAAAGGCCCCTTTCAGAGTGTTTGAAACTACAAGTATGAAAAGTTTCGTTCGACAGCTTAACCTTTATGGATATAGTAAAGTGCAGCAGTCTTTTCAAAGATTTGCTTCTCTAGCTGATATTCTGGCAGAAGAGAAAGAAGTCTCTGTTTTAAGCAAGGTAGTACAAAATTTAGTTACCCCAAATAATATATATACACATACTTATATACACACATACACCCATACACACACACACACACATACATACATGCACACATACATACACACACATACACATATGTACATATATATGCATACATACATGTATTTTTATATATTTTAAAAATATATGAAACCAGTGGGTTTAAAATTTTTTTCACAAAAATGAGAACTCTTTGGGCATTCAAGATTATAAACATGTTAGTAGCAACTTTGAATCTCATCAGTGAACTCTTAAGCCAAGGTACTGAAAGCACTTTATAGGGTGCATTCAGTGTTACTTTAAATGTAAATAGGATTTTTTACTTGAAGGCCATGCTATTTAAGTTTTTATTCCCAATGTGATTTTTGACAACAGTTAACAATGTCCATGTGTGGATGACATTAATTTGGCACAATACCCTTGATATATGAGATTTAGAGGTTAGGTTTCTTATAGTCTTATGTCAGCAAATAACTTTCTCCTCTGTTTTTAGTTACACTTCTTTCAAAATCCAAATTTTAAATGAGGTTGTCCTCAACTTTTACTCAGAATGAAAAGAAAAGTTGGGATCAAAAATGCTTCTCCAGCAGGTTCAATAGCTCACAATTTCAACAGGGAGCACATGACAGGGTTAGGGTGTGGGGAAAGCTGTATGAAATATCTTCACCCAACCTCAAATGGTCCACTAGGCAATCTAAAATTTTCAGCAGCAGTGTGAATATGGTGCCTGGATTATCCTTGCGACAAGCCAGAAAAGTGAGGCAGGCTCTTTTGCAGCGTTGTTAATATCCCCCCCTCCCACAATATAGGTTCAGAATTGCTTCCATTTTTTCAGTGGCCAAAGGTTTGATGCGTTGTACAGAGAGAAAATCTCAAAATTTCTCATGGGAATGGGGTGCTATTCTGCCCAAACTACAGTGGCCTACATTTATTGAACCAATAGTTACTAAATTTCCATATTGGTTTTCCTTTTCTGGGGTCAATTGTTGAGCATTTCAGTTTCAGTGGAAACAGCCTGGCTCCAAAAAGAATTTGGCCAAACACTAGCACAGTTCCAATAAAACTGACTGATGCCAAGTCAGGCAGAAGTTCCAAATGAATACTTGCAGGCAAAAAAATGCCCTTAATTAGAAAAGCAGGAAGCCTTAAAATAGTTTCCTCATAGAGTCTGGAGAATTTCAAACACAAAGAGAACAGAAGCTCTGAACCAGGAGAGAAACTAGCCCTCAAACTCCAGGGTCAGGGAGGGAAATTACAGCTCAAAGGACTCTGTAGATACTGCAACTGTTTGCTCTAGATCCCTGGAAATTTCCAGGGTCACCTCTGGATCTCTATGGTGTCATGATATAATGTTGAACTTAAATAGGAAATCGCTGTGATGAGGCCATGTCACTTTCTTTCAGGTTTCACATTTGGGTGCTGGGACGCAGGCTGTTTTACCATGTGCTTTAAAAAAGTGTTATTTCTGTTCAGGCCACATATCCTACAGCCACCGCCTAATTTTCACCCTTGAGGATTGCAGTGTATCTTCTGATAAACATAGCAATAAACCCATCAAATACCAGCAATGGCTGTGGGGGAAGGAGAAAAAAACTATTGCTGCAACGAAGAGAATCAAATAGATCAAACAGACGCCAGGCTAAATTTACAATGAATAGGTTGAAGAAAAGTGAAGAACTACAGAAAGTCCAGGACATGCAAGATGGGAAGCAAAACATTCCTGTCATTTGGTCCCACTGTGCACGCAAAAAAAACCAAAAACCAAAAACCAAAAAACATCTGGGAAATAAAATCGAACAAAAATTACCACAGGATGTGGTCATGGACGTTGTTTTGGAAAATCTTACTGTCTGTAACCGTTTCTACAAGTGCACTGGAAAATCTCCTTTAGAGACTTAGAATGTGTAAATTACTGATTTTTTACATAAGGTGATGAAGAACACATCCTCTATATCAGCAGGTATCGTATATTATGCCAGAGTACAACACTATGTCAACGCTGGATGTACAGATGGAAACCATGAGAATTCTATAAATACAGAAATGAATTTTGGACATAAAAGGGTCAAGTCACCGATAATGACACGAGGCAGCGTTTAACTAACAACTAATGATAAAAAGTCATGGCTAGCGATACATAAAATTGTCTTTGCAGTTTAAAAGAAATAATTATCTTACCCGCAAAACGGGTTTATTCGGAAAATCTAACAGTTGCTTTCTGGAGAGCAGAAATTGTTGTAATTTCAAACAAGCAGGCCAAAGCCAAAGTCATAGGCAAGTCCCTCAGATGAAGAGGAGAAATATTATTTTGGAGAGGAAATGGAGGATGTTGAGAGGGGACTTTTTGAACGCAAGCCCTCTGGAGAAATAAATGCGATCACCGTCGTTCAGAGTGAGTTCAGCTTTCTCGTTGGCTAGGTTGCTGGGAGTCAGTTTCTTGTTGGAAACACAGTGTCAGTCTTTCATGTTGGGGCCTATCATTGCTCTTTCTTTAACGCAGAGGAGTCTTCTAATTGATGTCGGGCAGTACCACGTAAGAGCATCCTCGCCTGGCCCCCATCTCCACTTGAGTGAGTTTTCCCCTCTTTCAGTTTCACAGTAATTATAAAACATCTACAGTTAGTCGGCTTTTATTTTTTTAATACGTGAAAATCATGTGATAACTCTTTCTTTTTTTCTCTTTTGAAACCCAGCAGATGTTTAGTTCACGCCACTGTCTGGACCCCTTGTCTTTGTATGGGATGTCTTATTTTTATGCAATATACCTGTTAGGTTGTTTTCAGGTTTTCATTTGTGTTACTTTTAACTATGTCTTTTTACTTCTGAAGCCTTTTGAGACCCACCTGACTTAAACATCCCTATTACCCATAACGACATTTCATTCACATTTAAAATTCTCCCGTTTTTTTTCTAATACACATTATATCACTCGTTGTGTTTGCACCTTCGACACATATGGAATTCACTGTGTGACCAGAATTTACTGAATGACTCAGTTTCCCCGGAAAGGAATGTAGTATTCACCTCAGTCGGTTCTAAAGTTCTTGCTGAAAGTGGATTTCTTAAGGAAGGGAAAAAATGGACGAGGACAAAACTCGGGATGCTGAGTGAAGTCCAGTGAAACAGAGAATCGGCCAGGATCACCCCATTAACCTTAAACGTCTGCAGCGAGCCCGAGGGTCCAGGCTCTGCTAGGGTGTGGGCGCCTGAACCTGCCGGGCAGGTCCTTCACCAAAGCACCCTCCAGATCAAGAAACGACTCCCGCGAGGCCATCCGAGGTTGCGCGAGGCTTCGTGACGTGACGCACAGTCACTGGACCCAGAGCAACCAATCCCGCGGACTGGGGCGGGGCTACTGCAGGTCACATGGAGACTCGCTCACCGGCCACGCCCTCAGTCCAGGACTGGGTACTGCCAGTGACCGACAGGAAGGCTACGCCCCATGCCCCGCCCCCTTGCGTCTTCAGACCTGCAATTGGCGGGTAGGACTCTGGGA